CCCCATGACCCAGCTTTTCAGTCTTGCAATTCACGATACAGTCACAGCCACACAAGGATGTGGACACAGGTCTTAAATGAGATCAGCTTTCATGGAGCAGCTGGGTTTTCAGGTGTCTTCAGTGCCCACTCTGAGAGCAAAGCACTCAAAATGTTAGCTTCTGGTAAGAGATGTCAGATTTGGTTGTCAACAGAAAGGGTTATTTGCCACATTACTCCAGTCCATGTAAGGTGACCTAATAAACTGCGACTACAGAAAGATGAAACCTCGAAGTATGTGTCTTTATCAGGTACCAGCAGCACCTGCAACATCTGTGCCACTTCTCCATGGGAAGACTTCAGCACAACTGAAACACCAAGCAGCAGCTGTCCTTGGCATGGGTGTCAGAGTCTGCATTGGGTATCTGGCTAATCTTTGGACATGCTAAATTTTTTTTTTAAATGAGTACAGAGTTAACCACCAGCCATAAAGATAAATTTCATTCTTTTCATCATTTATTGCTTTTCTGACTGGCTCCTTATTGCAAGCAATTTGCTTTCCATTCCCTGAAAATTATTATCAAATACTATGGCTACACTGAAAATAACTGCACAAAAATAAAAAGGAAATTGTATCTTGAGTCTGCAGAAGATGACAATTTTTTTTTCAATGGAAGGCCTGTGGTCAGTCCTCCATGTTATTGAAAATTTCTGCTGGCTCCCAGGCAAATGAAGAGCTGCAGGGTACGCATGACTTTTAACATCCCTGCACATCGTGTACACAGCAGGAAGAGAAGTAGCCCAATACATGGTAATGCTCTTTGTGGCCACCTTGCCAGTGCTATGACATCAATTTTTCAATGCCTTAGTACTTCCTATTACAACTCAAGTCTGTTTCCTCAGCACAAGATGTATTCAAATGACAGCCAGCAGATTGTGTGATGCGTCAGCAGGGCAGTTTACTTCTTTCACCTCTTTCAAGTGCTTTCATCAGACAAACACAATTTTTACCAGATACTAAGATGTCCTGTTCTTGGCAGAGACTGCCTCAGCTGTGACAGTCTTCTCTCAGACTTTTGCCACGCACCTGTAGGGCTGCTGCCCCCTAAGCAGAGGTACTAGCCAGTACTTCCATCCCCAAACCTGAAGATGAACTGGTCTCTAGCACTGACTGTCTCTAGCCATCCTGTTCTTCCCAGTAATGGAGAATAGCTCCCTCCAAACAATTCTCTTTGACAGACAGCACATGCAGCAATGAAATTTCTGTTGCCTATTTCTCTCCTGTTTCAATGGTCTTTAATGAGCAATGATGTCCCTCTTTCTTCATGCCCTTTCTGACATAAATGCACCTCTCTAGTGTGTAGTTTTACCTCAAATCCCTGAGGAGCTTAATGCCACAAAACAGGACATGTCTACAAGCTAGCAAATTCTGAGTAATAACTACTGCACCGGGAGCTCAGGAGATGGCATGTTATCCATCCCAACTATTTGCTTGGAGGAATTCAGCTCCATGGAGTCACAATCTAGTTCATTGTCTGCTGCTAGAGCAAGGAGTAATTCTGGCAAACCACCATGGAGACAGAAGGTTTTAAAATCCAGTGGCCCAGAAAAAGTTCAATCCTCTCTTATTTTGCACATGATTTTCTTTTCCTGTTTTCTTATGAAATATAAACCATGATATGTGATTGCTTAGGTATTAATGCACACTATAAAATATGCCTGAGTTAAGGGCTATGGGAGAAATCTTGTAGCAACATCGCACAAGTGATAATTTTTTTCTTCAGTGTTTAAAAATAGTGAATCTAAATTCTTTATGTCACAGGATATTTACATTGGCACCCTGGAAGGACTTATTTATTTTTATTAGTATTCCAGAACATTTTGCACTGGAGAGACCCTTGTGGTCAACATTCTGGTGTTGCCCAACAGTATTTTTATTTCTCTTCTCTCTGCTTTCAGTCTGCTCTGCATCCAGTATGCAGGATAAGTTCTGTTAGTTGCTATAATAGATGATTACTAATTGGAGTTCTTTCTAAAAATCACTGGTAATTCTGTCACTTCACTCCCTTATCTGTGAAGTCAGACTATCACCCAGCAGCCATCAAGTCACTCCTGAGAAAGTTTGACTCATACTGCCTCACGCCATCAGGTAAAAGAACAGCTGGAGCATAGCTGCTTGGGAGTGTCTTTTCATCCTCTTTTCTGGGTTTGTGTTGCTTGGTCAACAAAATTGCTTCCATGAATACAGATTAGATTTTTGGATGAAAAATGGGAAGGGATGGCACAGAAGTCCTCTTACTGTACTCTGTATATGTACGCATTACAAGTTTAGGAGCGATCCAATTATCAAATTCAAATCAAAGAGCCAAATACCCTGGACTAGCAACACTTTCAATCTCCATGTCTGACATATAGTCATCACTCAATTTTAGCTCGCAAGCTGAGTAGCATATTGGTATCCAACACTGCTCATGAGGATTTCAAGAGTGATACTTCAATGCTCAGATAGACAACAACAAGCAGCTAACTTAGAAGTCTGGATATTTTGAGTCTCTGAAGGTTAAGGAGGGTTTTCAGGATGTCAGAAGAAAATGGTGGGACAGAAACTAGAAACAAGCCTTTTCAGGCAGAATCCCCAGTTAGAATTAGCCCTCTTCAGTCTTGCAGTCTGGCACTTGCAAATATACAAATACACATCACAAATGTCTCAGGAACAGGGTACTATAAAACAGGACAGCTTGATTCAACTCTATTCCTTTTACCACTTGCTATGCCAGGTTCAAGATATCCTATAAAGAGTAGGCCTCCAAGTGTCAGTTCCTCGTTCAGAATTTATGTCTCAAAATGGAGAAAATCTGATTTTGAATCTTTCTATGCTTCAGTTTCTCACCTGTAACTGCAAATCTCTGTGGTGATCTGTTTTCCATTGAAGTTTTATATATCAAAAGCTGTGTAAAATTCCTAAGTAGCTGATGTGGGTATTAGATGCACATATACTCAAATGTACAAATGCATACACACACATATGCAGAAAGGGAGAGCTGCTGATGTGAAAAAAATCACTTCAAACCACCTTTTTGTTTCAACTAGAGATAATTTGAGTGTACTCTTTTCCATTGCAATAATGAAACATCTTTCAGCATGCCTAACAAGGCATACGATTTGGACATAAAGTCACAATGTGCCAACATCAACACTGAGGCTATCAGAATATAAAAGCATTCGGGGTGATCCCAGAAAGAAGAGCACTTATCATTGTAAGCAAACCAGCAAAAATATTTTGCCACATAATGTATATAAGTAAAACTGTACCAAGCAAAATGGGTGTATAGACTACTCAGGGTTACATTCTATAGACTAACAATAAGGCATTAATCAAAGCATACTGGCATAAACATGAACTCAGCTTGAAGATCACAAGGAATAGCAGGATACCATGCACATACAGAGAAAGGAAAGTTTATCATAAACACAATAGATAAGGTTATCAGGTAGCCCTTTACATGAAACTCCTTCTACAAAGAATACATAGTTCTCATATATCTGAAAATATCGGCAGGTCTGAGAGTCTGGAGCTGGATTCTGAAAAGAAGTCAAAACTTCCTGCTTTTTAAAAGATAAGTCTGCAGCCCGACATCCAAGACTTACTCATCAGTAGTGGTGGGAGCTAGGTGAGAAACTATGGGGTCCTCTGCCTAGTTAGTCATCTGGGTCCTTCCTAAAGAAAGATCTAGCAGCTGCTTTGAAAGTTGCAAGAGAACAAACATCAATTAAAAGGCATTTCCATAACCCGATCTCCTGTTGTTTTGCTACCCATGTCATAAACCCAAGTTCATTTCCTCTCCTGGATGCCAGACACTCAGAACAAGATGTTTTTCATCTTCTACACAAGGACTTGCAGGTGACTTCCAAAAGGCCAGCTCCACCATTTCTACTTGATAACTGGAAGGTTATGGGCTGCTGCTGTAGGCTCTGCTGCCACTCAGAGGCAGCCACTTCATCTCCCTAAATGACCTGTTGACTTCATTTGGTGACCACACATGACTGAAGCGTATGTTGCATCACCTGGTTGCCAGCAAGAGAGAGTGAGGTGGCAAGAAAGAGGAAAATGTGCTTTAAAGCCTGGATGCAACCAAGCAGCAAGCTCAGCATTTCTGTGGTGGGAGTGTATTTAGAGCTGTCATTTTAAGAGGGCTGACAGAGGTCATGACTGAGCTGTGACTTGGACAACAGCACAGAGAAGGGTCTGGCAGGACATACTTTGTAAGTGTTCCCTCTCTTTGCTTCATCAGTTACTGTCAAAGTCATCAACTCTTAAGAACAGCAATTGGCCTCTTCTAAGGATCCAGAACCTGCAATCTCCTAAATGCAAGCTGTGTCCACAGCACCAGTGCTTGATACCAGCTGATATTTTGTGTATGGAGCTTTCTTTTGTGTTCAGATACAACTTTCATTGCCCACGACTAATGAATTGCTTTAAAGTTAAAGTTCTCTGCTGTTAATTAAAATTCTACTAGTAAGGCCAGAAATAGCTCAAGAGTAGTTTGGGAGTTAGGAAGTCCATGCTTTTTTGAACCACAAAAGTGGAGGAATCTTCTCCATTCTTGTTTGGGCCAGAAAAGTCTTTTCAAAGACCATACAAGGCATTTTAGTGGCTTCTAGTAAATGCTGACTTTGAAGTCCAGCATCAATAACAGGAAATAACAGGAAACAGAAGCACCACATCAGCAGTATCAGCTAACCACATTTTGATAGCACATGCAGGAGTAAATTTCTCATCGTTAATTAGATCACAGAACACTAAATCTTTACTTTCACCTGATTTTGTGTGTGTGTGTGTGTGTGTGTGTGTGTGTGTGTGTATGTTTAACATCATGAGTATCACACTTGGATTCATTTAGACACACTGATTCATTAGGCGGCCCATGACCTTAATAAATTTAGATTACCAGGAAGGGGTAGTTTATACCAGCCTCTTAGTCATAGAAATGAGTCATGATATCCACCCACACTAACCTTTGTTTGGTCTCTCCAAGTATGCCAGGGCTTGTCAGCCTTTCACAAACGGAGTTCTTTGATTCCCTCAATGAGAGAAGGACATCAAGGAAGTCTGGTTGCAAGAACAAGCTGCCTGTGCAAGAGACAGAACAATACCGTTGACCTTGAGGAGCTGAGGACTTGTTTTCTCCAAGGACATGATGTACTGCTGGAGGGAAGTGTCTCACATGACCTGAAGTGAGGTAAGAGTGCAGAGGGGGGAGCAGGGCTTGTTCTCTTCTCACAGGCTGCCAGACTGCTTCTTTGGGAAAATACTCTTACAGGAGTTTCCACACACAGCAGAGAGCAGAGAGAATATGGGGATTTTGTTCTAGTTCTGACCATTTGGCCACATGCAAAAGGAAATAAAAGTACTGAAGCAAACATAAAAAGAACAAGATGAATCCCAGATACAGCCCCCTGCATGCTCTCCTGCCTAACCTAGGAACTCCTACCACAGTTCTGAAGCCATGGTGAGAGATATTTCAGAATTCCTTGGTAGCTATTTCTGGAGACAAATACTTAGGAGGCATAAAAAGCTATTTTAGTAGTGCATTGCTTTGGGCAAAAGAAAAAAACACTCAGACCATCTATAAGTTGATACTGACAAAAGCCTTGGAAACTGCAGCTTGGCAATCTTTCTAGACAACCAGGAAAGTCCTTGAAGGACTTCCCAAATTCAGATATAGACCACCGGACACAGTGTAATCCTGAGATATTACTGCTCTAGAGAACGAGATCATCACAGGTGGAAAAATATGATCACAAGATAGCTAGCTTGGTAAAGGACCTCTTTTCCTCTGCTTCTCTTTTTACGCGCATGTATACTGCTTCAGATGATTTGCTAAAGCCACCACCAGCATCCCCAAATGCAGCCTTGGCAGAGTTCGCCTAGGTAGAGTTTGCCTTGGCAGAGTTTGGTAGAGAAGTTTATCTCAGCATGTTATTCAGTGTCATGCTTCATATATATCCCAGCCCACCAAGCAGCCAAGCCATCATCCTGAGTTCAATTTTCAGGTAGATCACAAGAGGTTACAGGATTGGCCAACCTTAGAACTTAGCAAAATGGCATAAGACAGTGCAGCTTAAAAATGAGGGTTGGTAGAGTTTGCTTTTTCTCTAGGGCAAGCTGCTCCTCTACCTCAGGAGTTCAATGATTTGCAATGATTTGAGCAACTGCTTTATCTCCTGGCAGTTAAAGAGCCTTTCCAAATCCATATTTGGGAAACTTACTTCGTTTAAATTTGAGTGTTAGAGAAAGACCTCAATCTCAACTTTAGAACATTTGACTATGCAGTTGGTCAGTGTGAGTATCAGTACCCCCAAGTCTTCCCAAAATGCTGAAGGCACTAGAAAACTTATAAATGTTGAAAGATATTCACTGGGAGAAAATCTGCATATGAAAATATGCAAATATATTAATATTTTAATGTACTGTTTTTTCAATTAAATGATTCATGCTAAAAAGTATTCCTCACCAATTGGAAACAATATTAACTTCCTTCCAAATCAGAAGAAATTAAAATAAACATAATTTGGTTTTTCCTGTTTATCTCCTCAGTCAAGTAGGTAGAAGAGGGAGTGGAAGAAAGGAGGAAAAAAAAAAAATCTCAAAAATTAACTATTTTATTTGCAGATCTATTTGGTTTTGAATCAAAAAGTATTTTTTAATTCAAATCATTTAATTAAATGTATCAGAAAATTACACTAGCTATTTTCAGCAAAATGAAAGGCTGTCAGCTTGATAAAAATTTTGACAGGCAAGGTTTTCTATGTGTGTTCTTCTGATCTTGAATTTGGAGATTTAACCTATCCCAAATTCAGATCTTTGTTAGAAGATGGTCCAGTTATTCACTTACACCTGAATCATCATATCACAAATTTCATAGTATCTTGTAGTCTCTGGATGAAAAGCTTTTTCATTTCCAAAATAAGGTCCTTTTGTCCTAGTTGTCATGTAGTTGGTGCTACACTTGTACATTTTAAAGATCACTTTGCTCAAGACAAAATTACATGCTCAGGACTGCAACATTCACTTTGCAACTGCAGACTTTGTCTCTTAGAAATGATAGTCTCCTTCAGTTGCCTGAACATCACACACCTTGGCACACAAAGCAGAATAACCCAGAATTCAGGGAAGCATCTCCTCAGAGGTGGAGCAGGAATCAGAATGAACTCTTCAGGAATATTTCATGATCTCTGCAACCTTGGCTAGGTCAGGCTTTGTCAACTTGCAAAATTTGATCTGTCTTCCTACCAATACACTACTGTCAAGTCAACAAATTTATTGTTTTCATGGCCACATATAGAAAGCATTGACTTGTGACATAACATGAGGACTTGCAATTCTCAGGTTTCATCTGAAAGCAAAGAGGGGGGAGAAAGAGAGTGGAGAGAGGGGAAGGAAGGGAGGAAGGAAGGGAAGGAAGGAAAGGAAGGAAAGGAAAAGGAAAGGAAAGGAAGGAAAAAGGAAGGAAGGCAGGGAGGGAGGGGGGAGGGAGGGAGGCAGGGAAGCAGGGAGGAGGGAAGGAGGGAAGAAAGGAGGGAAGGAAGGGAGGAAGGGAAGAAGGGAGGGAGGGAGGGAGGGAAAGAGAGAGGGAGATAGGGAGGAGGGAGGGACAGAGGAGGGAGGGAGGGACAGAGGAGGGGGGATGAGGAGAGGGAATGAGGGCAGGAAGGAAGGAATGAGAAAAGAAAGGGAGGGAGAAAAGGAAAGGAGAAAGGGAGAAAATGATGGTGAATGAGCCCTTTGCAGCAGGCTACAATTCCAACTACGTGCATATCCCAGGGCAGCCTCTGCCTATACTTTCTGAATCACTTTTCAGAAATGTGTAGCGTTTTCTGTTGCTAGGGGCTGGGATACAGAAGGGAATTCAAGACACTTGGAGATGGCCTGTGTTTCAGGCCTGTAGGCTTGCTAAATGGCTGTAGAGGGAACGTCCTAACATTTCTGCACATACACATGCACACATACATGCACTTGCAAAACCAGTACAATTATTTTGAAGGCAACGGCAAGGTAGTGGAAGGGATTTTGTTTGTTTGTTTGTTTGTAGAGGAGAGAGAGCTTGAAGAGAGGATTTGTGAAGAATTGGAGTCAGTAAAGTTAATGCTTTCTCATAAGTTTGTCTAGCACCTACCTGGTCGTTGCCTTGACATTTGACTTACAAAATCACCAAGCTACTGGATCCTAAAGATAGTCTTAGAAGAGCAAGGGCATCGCGTGTGAAAGGGTATAAGTAATGTGTTGGATGTCATCTTAAGGATCAAAACTGACAAACTAAACTTGGGTTAGCATTTATAAAATATATTTAAAGCATCACTACTTCAACAGAATTCAGGCTTCTGGTTTAAAAGAGAGCAGTAAATAATAGTATGGACTGGAGATGAGAGATAAGATACCTCAAGATCTCGTTAAATAATTAAGTAACATGCAAGAAACAAAGAAACAAAACCAAACTAGTCAAAGACAGTCCCATAGTAATTACCAAATCAAGCATGTGCCCTTTAGAATGAGTGGAATCATTCATGTGTTACACAAGATTAAATTAATCTTAGAGCGCTATAAACCCGTGCACTGTGAGTGAAAGAATTCAGAGTGAGACAAAAATTCAAACTCACAAACAGATGCTCAATGAAATTTATTGTGAATTGAGAGAGCAGCTCTGCTAAATCATTAAAGACTTGAAATTCCTCAGTGCACAATTCCAAGCAATGCAGAAGGAAGAGATACAGTAAAGCAGAAGAAAGTGGGAGAGAGTACACAAAACTGAGCTTGGTTCTAGAACTAGACAGTTACCAGTTTGAATCTGCTCAAAGCCCCTGGGTGTTTGCATGTATTCACAAAGAGCAAGAGTAAGAGAAGGAAGTAACACTGAGCTTTAAAGAGAGGAAAGAAGCAGGATGAAGAAGGATCAGAAGTTTCAGAAGAAGACAAAGAAAGAGAGTGATATTTGGAGGAAACAGACAACCATTACTATAATAAGCAAGAGTGACAACTCTTCCTGTTGGCACATCGCATCCCCTAATCCATTCATGCTCCCTGCAGACTTTTGTCTTCACCAAGACAAGTAACTACTGTGACCAGCAATGTATCACTTCAGGCCCCGGTTTCCCCAAACCAACCTTCTCATTGAACTCTTTGACTAGTAAGTTAAAAATCATCTCCAATTTTTTGCATAAATCTGTGGTGTCAGAAGGGCAGTTTTGATCCAATGTTAGTGTGTATGCAGGAAAGCGCGTAGCAGGCTGTCACACTGCAGTTTTCCATCTCCTATGGTCTGCTGATCCCCTGCAAGGTCTGCCACCCTCCTGGGACTCTGCACACCTTTAGTTGCTCTTCATCAGTTTAAGTTTCAAAAGAGACGTATACTTCACCAGGGAGAGCAGAGCTAACAGAAATGTGCTTCACAGCACAGCCCTGTGCATAAATTGGATGCATCCAACTCTTCTCAATAAAATGAAAGTGCTTCAGGTTCTGATGATTGAGGAGTTACAGAACGTCAGTGAGATGCTGTAGTTCTTCTGCCACTGTCTAAACAGGGTCATGACCTTGGGGGAGTGTCACAAGGATGGAGCCAGGCTCTACTCAGTGGCAAACAATGATAGGACAAGGGGTAATGGGTACAAACTGGAACACAAGAGGTTCCACTTAAACTTGAGAAGAAACTTCTTCTCAGTGAGGGTGACGGAACACTGGAACAGGCTGCCCAGGGAGGTTGTGGAGTCTCCTTCCCTGGAGACATTCAAAACTCGCCTGGACACATTCCTGTGTAACCTTATCTAGGTGTTCCTGCTCCGGCAGGGGGATTGGACTAGATGATCTTTTGAGGTCCTTTGCAATCTCTAGCATACTGTGACACTGTGATGGTCACAACTCCTTTACTTTATTAATGATCTTTCAGGTGTACCACATAAGCTCCAACCGGTGATTCCTGGGTAGATTTATGCAGTACACAGGACTCTTCTGTGCCTTGTGTGTGAAAGTAGTAACATGTAGTACACGGCTGGCATGTACAGCTGCAGGAACAAAGCTGATCTAAATCTCTTGTATTCACCCCAAGTTTACTTTATCCCACATACCCTAAATTGTTTGCTCTTGCCAATGGTAGATGAAAATGGAAAAATGCAAACATGTCTGTTTTAAAAATCTCGATTTTGCATTCATCAATATTTACACAAAACATAAATTTATGGGGTGACG